TACATCGCCACCAACAACGGCAAGGAGAACATAACTTCGGACGCGACTGGAGTCGGTTTCACCTGACGAGAAATCTGATGCACTGAACTGTTTGTCGAGATACAGTGCTCGCAACTTGGTTGTCGATGCAAATACTATCATGTATACTGTGTTGGGCAACGAATTTATTTAGAGGATAAAAGTAAACAAAAAACAGCAGTGAGATCTGAATCACGTCAGGAAATTTTATTGTTGAATTACTCCCAAACCAAGACACCGACAGACTTATTAATAACATGCCACGGACTATCAATAACTTAGATTCGGTGTATATCAAAGTGGTATTGAATCGGTTGAATGTTGTGATGAGTATTCTCGTGAAGTACCATGCGCCTTTGGTTAAGGCGCTTGTGCTCCACGGAGTTTAATTCACCATCGTAACGCGCTGTGAGACCTGCTGATCTGGATATATCCTATCTTCATCACTTTGAAACTCTCTCTTTGCCACTCAAGACCACCCTGTACGTAATCGAAGGCAGGTATGCGTTTGCAAGGCGGCATCATCTTCGCAATCTCCATTATTTGGATCGATTTGGTTTTATCCAACATTAGTGGTTGTCAGAGTTGCTTTCAGATAGAATTTCAGATGAGATAATTACTAGTTGAAGCAGCTTCATTGGCTAAAATGTATTTGAAATTTAGATAGCGATACCGGAGCTTTTGGACTTGAGTTGGCTTTCTGAAAAGGTTTGTGGACCACTTATTTGCAAAGTGGCTTGCCGATTTCCTACCATGGCCACCCTGCAGCGAAGAAGAAGGTGCTATCGGACCGCGACGGCGTGAATGGAGGCCCTAGCTCAATGAAGATCTTGCTGGACTGGCTCACCACTAAAGGAAATTATACTAAGTGGAAGGGAGGGGGGGGGAGATCGAGCGTCGGTTTGACAAAAGAGCGCTGTGTGGCACAATTATAACTATCGACGCTGGCATACGGCATAGGAAACCCGCCCATCGCATCCAAAATACTTATTTGCACCTAACTATGACGACATCTCTGAGCTCGATCTCCGCTTCGTGTCTCGATCACCGAACGCAGACAAGAAAATCGTCGCCCACAGAAACCTTTTGAGGTCCTACAATGTAGACAATGCTGGTGGATCTATCGCTGATGACAGTGACGGCGAAGAAAGAACTGCGCTCGAGTGGATATCGAAAAAGGTAGCGAAAATCCTTCTCAAGATGGACGAGCATCCAAAGAATCTTTTCAAGAGGTTACGTCTTGCTCAGAGTGGCGTAAAGCTTGACAATAGTCCAGTGTTCCTGAAGTGGTTGGATTACGTCGATAAGTACAGAGCAAAGAAAGCACATGATTTGTTTCCGGAGTTTTCGTTGTTTCCTTCCTGAGGGACACCAAGAGTTGGTGCCCCCCCCCCCCCCCCCGGCTTCGTGTTTGAGTCTCGAGAAACTCCTGAAGAGGTTCTCAAGATTCTACAGTTAAAGGGTGCGATTTTTGATGATAATCCCTTGCTTCAGCAGTGGTTCAGATACACAGAAATGTACAGGGCCAAGATGGGTAACAAGGCGTTTACTGAATCGCAAATACTGCAGTTTTTGCTTGATGCTCAACCGCTCGCAAAGCAACCTGGAAAACTCTTCGAGTCGCTTAAGGAAGTCCCGGATTTGAAAAACATCGCTGGAAATTTACAGAGCTATCTCTTTCAGAAAATTATACTTGTCAAGGAAGAAAGCTCCAAGAGCTACGGAGACAGTTTGATGAAGCCTTACGACTCCTGGGAATCACTGTTAAAGTTGCCGAAGTCCGGAATGTTTATACGGCGCAGTATGCAGAAACTCAAAAAGTAAAGAAGATTCTAGACGGCGTTGCGCCTGAAACATCACCGTAAAATATTCGCTAGAAGATCCATCAGTGGTGCAACTAAATGGCCACCTTCTCATGTAAATTGGAAGCCTCAATCGGTTCCATGTACTTAAGTATCTGGTCTCCGGGCTGATAGGTGATTTATAATAAGTTGGATGGCAGCCAGTGCTGATACGAACCTCCAAAATATGCAGACTTACATTAAAGTTTCAACTTTGGGAGCTCACACTATGCAGTATGCAGCTCGCTACGGTGATACGACCTGTTCACCGACACGGACGCGAACGCTGCAATCTCGACCGCAACGATGGTCCGAACTCTGTTAGAAGCAATGAGCTGCTAGCTAGAATATGACATCAAAGAGCACACAATAAATTGTAGATAAAGTTGTTGCTCGAACTCATTGTCGTGTACTTGTAACTACGGAACAGTAAATAATAAGATACTGTGTGAGTGGTGGTAAGCCCCAATCCAAAACAAAAAAAAAGAAGGAAAATGATGGAGTTGTGTCTTTCTTCTGTGATGAGTATCGAATGCTCCGACAATTCGCTTAATCAATTGCTATCGGAGCCTGTTGCGATCCAGCATCCGATCCTGATTGCTGTTGTCGCGCCTTCTTCTTTCCACTGTTCCGAGTTCCATCGCTCTTTTCCTCTTTATGAATGGTGAAAGTGCTAAGCAGACCAAAGTGGTCAGACGGCCACAGACCATCAGCGATCTTCTGCTGGCCTACGATCACAATCTGGTCGAACTCACACTTTCCTGCTTCGTCGTTTGATGCAGAGTAAAAGTACATGCGGTCCAATCGGCTGCGGAACGATCGACTCGTGACCAGAGTGTTCCGCGTCCCATCGAACGTGTACCCGTTCTCCTCCGTGTTACCAGGTACCGACAACCAAAGATCCTTCCATCCACCCGGTAAACCCATCGTCGCCTAAATAATCAATTATCAAAAAAATGAGCTCATAGCACTACATTCAACATTTTCAGTATCAAAACAACGTACCAAATCTACTGTCTCTTCGTCACCTCGTTTGGATTCTCCTCGTAACTCTCTTTCCATTCTTTTAACCAACGTCTTCTCATCATCAGTCGTTGACGACGCATTCAGAAAGCAAGTATAATGGAACCACAATCGAATCTCCAATACTTTCCCTCCTGTCACCGTACTTTTCGCCATCTTGCCTACTCGCACTGCTCCTTTATCGATCACCTCCTCACAAGTCCGGCACTTGGATCTTCCGGTTTTGGCCAATTCAACGTCCACATCAGCGAACGCAGCGAGGCGTCTATCCAGTAACTTCATGTCTGTCTTCATCAAATTTGTGTCCCCCATAAAAATTGCTCCCAAACAGACATTTTTTGGGTTTCCATCTGCGCGTCTTTTGTCCCCAATTGCCACCATATCATCACTCTCCGCATTGTTCACTCTGTCCCGTAGCAGTGTCAAACTTTCCTTCAATTGAGATACTCTTGGTCCTGCAAATTGGGGCAAACTCTCTAAATGGGACGTTCCCACGAAAAGGGTCTTGCCTGGAATGGGTTCAACCTGCATGATCACCAATTCTCGACCCATGCCCGTATTTGAAAATGGGTGAGTTTCAAGCGATTTGACAGGTAAGGCACTGAAAAGAGCCACGAAATAGGCCTCTTGAAATGGGGGCGCCGTGTCCACGCTGCAATCGTAGAATTTGGCCCATTGTTGCGCCTTGAGCATCGCCAGAGCGTCACGCGTGACTTCTTGGAACCCGATGACAGCGGGGCGGAAATGCTCGACCAACCGACCGATGGCCTTCATGCGCATGGACCGCGCCACCTCATCGAAGAAGATGTTAAACGTCAGGATTCGCAGCTTCATTATTTTCGCATTTACTTGTCATAAAGCGCAAATTAAAAACCCTTTCCAAGCTGATCCCCTCAAAAGGAAAATAACACTCCTTTCGATTTGTGATTATCAATGCGATGCCATTCAATGAAGAGGTAGCAGGTCCCTATTGGCTCTTCGAGAACAACTTCTGGTCGCTCTTGAAGTACTCTTGCATCTTCGCATTATCGTAGCAGCACGATCGACACAATAAAGCTGGTGCGTGCCGCTGTCAGGAGCGATAGATGAACAGCTTGTTTGTTGGTGGTCCTCTCGTCTTTTGAAAGATTATGCACCTGATTATGTAGTCGTTCAACAGCAATAACAAATTACGAGATGATTATGAAGGGCGCATGGTGTTGCATTGATTCAATCGTCGAAGGAACACTCAAAGTTCATTCCACAATTTGCCTTCAAGTACCTTCAACGAAAGCCGAGAACCTAAGACAGATTGCATGGAGGATTCGTCTAATGCAACCAAAGCTGTCAAAACTATTGACGACGTGCCAGTCATCAGCTATGAAAGTGGTGACCGGTTGATGGCTCAAGGTGCGACTGCGCTGCACCAACATGTTGCCGCAACAGTTTTACCCGCGCTCGGACAGCCCATGCCAAAGATGGAGGTGCGCTTCCACAACGTCTCCATCTCCGTCGATATCGTCGTCAAGGACGAGACCAACCTCAAAACGGAACTGCCCACCCTTGTGAACGTGACCAAGACGAGTCTAGCGAAAGTGGTTGCTAAAACTCACATTGTGAAGAAGGACATTCTACGCAACGTCAGCGGCGTATTGAAAACCGGCGCCATGACGCTAGTGTTAGGCCAGCCTGGCTCGGGCAAGTCGACGTTGCTCAAGGTTTTGGGTGGGAGATTCCCTACCGGCAAACACGTCCAAGTGGATGGCCACGTGACATACAACGGTACACCACAGGAAGCACTTCGCACTCGACTTCCGCAGTTCGTTTCCTTCGTCGACCAACACGACAAGCATTTCCCCACTCTCACAGTTAAAGAGACGCTCGAGTTCGCCAATGCGTGTACGGGCGGGAAGCTGTCGAAGAGGGAGGAGAAATTATATTCGCACGGAACTCCCGAGCAGAATCAAGCGGCGCTCGACTTGCTGCGAGCTACGTACAAACACCACCCGGACGTAGTCATCCGCCAGCTTGGTCTTGAGAGCTGTCAGAACACCATCCTAGGTAACGCGATGCTGCGTGGTGTGTCGGGTGGTGAACGCAAGCGCGTGACGACAGGTGAAATGATGTTCGGCAACAAGTTCATGCTCTTGATGGACGAGATCAGCACGGGACTCGACAGTGCCGCGACGTTTGACATCATCTCGGCCCAGCGTAGTCTGGCCAAGACGCTTAACAAGACGGTAGTCATCTCGCTGCTACAACCGTCTCCGGAAGTATTTGGATTATTCGACGATGTGATTTTGCTGAATGACGGGTACGTAATGTATCACGGTCCAGGCTCAATGGCGTTGGGACACTTCGAGAATCTGGGTTTCAAGTGTGCTGCGAATCGCGACGTGGCCGACTTCTTGTTGGACTTGGGTACGAACAAGCAGCAGCAATACGAGGTGGGGATTTGTCCGAGATCTGCACGCGAATTTGCTGATTTCTTTGAGAAGTCCAGTATCCGTGCTCACATGATGAACGAGCTCAATTCCCCAGTCCACCCTTCGCTGCTTGTCTACAAGGAAAAGTTCGTGAATCCTCGTCCCGAGTTCCAGCAGAGCTTTTGGGATGGCACGATGACCCTGATAAGGCGGCAGATGACGATCACGCTTCGTAACACTGCTCTACTGAAGAGCCGATTCCTCATGTCTGTCGTGTTAGGACTGCTGAATGCAAGTACCTTTTACCAGTTCGACGAAACGGATGCCCAGGTGGTCATCGGTATCATCTACGTGGCCATCAACTTCGTGACGTTGGGGCAGTCTGCACAAGTCCCGTCGTTCATGGCCATCCGCGATGTGTTCAACAAACAACGAGGGGCCAATTTCTTCCGCACTTCGTCGTTTGTTCTCGCTACTTCGGTAAGTCAGGTCCCGTTGGCGGTGATTGAGACGCTTATCTTCGGCTCGATCATCTACTGGATGTGTGGATTTGTTGCCACTGCTGGAGGATTCATCTTCTTCGAGCTCGTGGTGTTTCTGACCAGTATGATGTTCGCTGCTTGGTTCTTCTTCCTCGCTGTCGTGTCTCCAGATTTGAACGTGGCGAGTCCGATTACTATGTTCTCACTCTTCTTCTTCACGCTGTTCTGTGGATTTGTGGTAACCAAGGGGAACATTCCCGATTACCTTATCTGGATTTACTGGTTAAGTCCGCAGGCTTGGGGTATTCGTGCCGCTGCAGTTAATCAGTACACAGACTCACGTTTTAACGTATGTGTGTATGGGGATATCGACTACTGCGAGGCGTATGGAATGACGATGAGTGAGTATTCGCTGTCTACGTTTGACGTACCTACTGGGAGAGTTTGGATGTATCTCGGAGTAGTGTATCTGGTTGGACTCTACGTCTTCTTCATGCTCATTGCCTGGGCTGTCCTGGAATACTGGAGAACCGAAGATCCTATCATCGTCTCATTTGAAGCGAGGGACGACATAGCTGATGTGAAAACCTTGACGTCTACCGGCGATTACACCCTGACCACTACTCCAAGAGCTGTAGCCAGAAGTGCAGATTTATCGATTCCCGTGGCTCAAGTGAGAGCGAAGAGTGTTACGCCTGTCACTTTGGCTTTCAATGATTTATGGTACTCGGTCCCTGATCCAGCCAACTCTAAAGCCTCTATCGAGTTGCTCAAAGGTGTCAGTGGATTCGCACTCCCCGGTACTATCACTGCACTCATGGGGTCTTCAGGTGCAGGCAAGACCACACTCATGGACGTCATCGCTGGAAGGAAATCTGGGGGACAGATTCGTGGTGACATACTACTCAATGGACACCCAGCAACAGAGTTAGCTATCCGTCGAGCTACGGGATACTGCGAGCAGATGGATATCCACTCGGACGCGTCCACGTTCCGTGAGGCGTTGACGTTCAGTGCGTTCTTACGTCAAGACGCTGACGTTCCTGATAGCCAGAAGTACGACTCCGTCAACGAATGCCTCGACTTGTTAAACCTGCATCCGATCGCTGACCAGATCATCCGTGGCAGCTCAACAGAGCAGATGAAGAGGCTGACTATCGGTGTGGAACTAGCAGCACAACCCAGCGTGCTGTTTCTGGACGAGCCAACAAGTGGACTAGATGCTCGCTCTGCCAAACTCATTATGGACGGTGTACGTAAGGTGGCAGACACGGGTCGAACCATTGTGTGTACGATCCACCAGCCCTCCTCAGTAATGTTCAGTGCATTTGACAGTTTGTTGTTGCTGAAGCGTGGTGGTGAGATGGTGTTCTTCGGTGACCTCGGTGACAAGGCGTCGAACTTGGTGACGTACTTTGAGTCGATTGAAGGTGTGCCGAAGCTGGAGAAAGATTACAACCCAGCCACTTGGATGCTGGAGGTGATCGGTGCTGGTGTGGGAAATGATAATGGCGACAGGATTGACTTTGTGTCGATATTTATGGCTAGTGAGCATTGGCGTCAGCTAGAGATGAATCTTGACCGGGAGGGAGTCACGCGACAGTCCCCTATACTACCGGCGCTGACGTTCCAACGCAAGCGAGCAGCAAGTAATTGGACTCAAGCGATATTTCTGACCAAGAGATGGTTTAATCTGTACTGGCGAACCCCGTCGTACAACTTGACTCGTGTCGTGATCTCCCTGGTTTTGGCTCTAGCACTTGGGATCACGTACGTCGGATCGGAGTACAGGTCATATCAAGGCGTGAACTCGGGTCTGGGTATGGTATACATGGGCGCCGTCAACATCACATTCATCAGCTTCAACGGTGTACTCCCTATTACGTCAAAGGAACGAGCAGCATATTATCGTGAACGTGCGACTCAGACGTACAACGCGTTTTGGTACTTCATGGGCTCTACACTGGTGGAGGTCCCGTACTGTTTCGGCATCTCACTGCTGTTTATGGCGATTTTCTACCCGATGGTCGGATTTACTGGCGTCGCCGCGTTCTTCACGTACTGGTTTAATCTATCGCTGATCGTGACTCTGATGGCGTATTTCGGCCAGTTCCTCATTTATCTGCTGCCGAGTATTGATGTTGCGTCTGTGTTCATGGTGCTCATCAACACAATGTGCATCCTGTTCACCGGTTTTAATCCTCCGGCCGTCTCGATCCCGAAGGGGTACGAGTGGCTTCACGATATTACACCGCACAAGTATGCTTTCGCTAGTCTGACGGCTATCGTGTTTGGCGACTGCCCCGCTGATGGTGACGACAGCGAACGAGGTTGCCAACAAATGACTGGCACTCCACCGAGTCTACCGGATGGTATCACGTTGAAGGAATACTTGGAGATGAATTTTCTAGTTAAGCACAGCGAGATCGGGAAGAACTGTGGGATTCTAGTTGCATGGATCTGCGCGCTTCGGTTTTTGACACTGCTGGCACTGCGCTATGTGAACCACCAGGCAAGATAGAACATAAATCATTACGTTATCGATTTTGGTTTAAAATCGGTAAGTGATCCTTAGAACATAAAAAAGCAAAAAAAAACACATTGGTAAGTTGCTGTTTCTTCCCCTTTGTGTTTTGTCGCGTTCATTTATCGACGATCTTGTATTATTATTATTTTTTTTTACTGCTTTTGAGGCGATTTGTCATCAATTGCTCTCTAATATTTGCGAGCTAGTCGTAATTATGTCAGCGGTTTTATTACCAGCAGTGAGAATTGTTCTAGTAATTATTAAGGTGTACTTAATAATATATGACATGGCTGAAGATAAGAACAATGAGTTTTGTTGATATGGCGCACCAACGAGTGCTCGCAGACTGTCTTGGTGGCGGCTATGATGACGATGAGCGCTCGCTGACCCACGGAGAGGACTCAACGGATGATGGCAAACGCGTGGGAACTATCAGCAAGGACTCATCTGATGATGGCGAGGAGTATCCGACAGCGGCAGGACGCGGCACGTCCCTGTCAGCACTGTGAATGGGCAAGTATAATGAGAGCAAGTGATGGAGACGTCGGGAGTAAGCAGGTTGATGAGAGGGAACAAGGAGATACTGATCAATCGAGTGACAGTAAGGTGAGCTCAAGCGTGTTGGGGGAGATACCATAGATAACTGAAATACACTCACTTCGGCATTTGCCTTCTTCTACTCACATCAAAACCAACAGGTTAACAGCCGCAAGACTCAAGTACCTCGGCCGCCATGACCACGACCGCCAAGAAGGCTGAAGTCATCCTTGGAAGCGACAACTACTTTCATTGGGAGTTCGCCATGCGCATGACGCTAGCAAGGAAGGGGCTACTGGCGCACGTTCAAGTCGTGAAAGAACCGGCGGAGGTGACCGAGGCCTGGATGCTGAACGACATGAAGGCGCTCGGTTTGATCGCTCAAGGTGTGGCAGTGGAACACCACACAAAGATTCGGTCAGCAACGACGGCCATGCAGACCTGGACCACGTTGCGCGATTTTTACAACCGGGTTATGATGACCCGTCGCCTCCACGAGTTCAAGATGGAGGAGAGCTCGACGATGGCTCAGCACCTCGACAGGTTTGACGAGCTCATCGTGGGTCTGCAAACGCTCGGTGATCCTCTCGACGAGAGTCGACAACTCGTCATTTTGATCAGCAGCCTGCCTGTGGAGTACGAGTTGATCGCGTCGATCGTCGAGAACAGCAGGAAAGTGACCCTGATTGAGGTGAAGGAAAAGTTGCTCAAGGAATATGAGCGGCAGGAGAAGAAGGAGTCAACTGAGCGCGCACTGAAGGCCTCGCTCTGAGGAAGAGGCAACAACGGAAGATTTGGCAGCCGCAGGCGAGGACTCGGCGGCTCCAGGAGCAACGGTAGTCGAGGACTCGGAAGCTTCAAAGGCAAATGCTTCAACTTTGGCCGAGTGGGTCACATGAAGCGGGACTGTCCTGATGGGACCCACGGTGACATCAACGAGGACTCGGTGTTTGCGGTGAGGAAGAATCGGTAGGCAGGGTGGCTGATCGACAGTGGAGCGACTGCTCACATGACGCCATACCGTGATGACATGTACGAGTATCAGGACGTGTCGGTGGGCATGTATGTTACCGTCGCTGACGGTAAGAAGATCAAGGTAACTGGTACCGGCTCGGTGCGACTGACAGGACTCGACGGCAAGCGCATCAAGATGATGGATGTACTCCACATACCTGGCCTTGACCGGCGACTACTCTCGGTCGGAAAGCTGGCGGAACGAGGCATGAACGTTGAGTTTCAGCGTGGATCATGCATCATATGGAACAAGACGAGAACGATCGCCTCTGGGAGGAAGAGTGGTAAAGCGTACATGTTGGACTGCGAGCAAGACGCAGCATACTACACCGAGTACTCGAATGTCAGTGGTGAGTGGGAGCTTTGGCACGCACGTATGGGACACCTTAACGTGGACTCGCTCACGAAGACCCAGCAAGCCACCATTGGAGTGCCAGCAACTACTCGGCACGTGGCCAAGATGCTGTGTGGTGGATGCATGAAGGGCAAGCAGACGGTGGCAAGATTTCCATCCCAGTCGCTAACTAGGACTCGGTGCCCACTGGAACTGGTCCATACTGATGTAATGGGGCCCATGATGACGAAGTCGAAAGGTGGCGCGAGGTATGTGCTGACTTTTGTGGACGACTACTCGCGGTACGTCGTGGCGTACTTTATGAACAAGAAGAGCGAGGTCTCGGCCAAGTTCGAGTCGTTTTTGAAGATGTACGAGAATCAATGGGGAGGGCGCGTGAAGTGCCTGCGCTCGGGCAATGGCACAGAGTTTGTGAACAAGAGCATGGACAAAATCTGCCAGCAGAACGGCATCTTGCACCAGAAGACTGTCCCATACAGCCCCAACAGAATGGCGTGGCGGCAAGGATGAACCGCACGATCATGGAGAAGTCTCGGAGCATGATGCACTACAAGGGTGTATCGACGGAGTGGTGGACAGAGGCAGTGAGTACTGCAGTGCACTTGGCGAACCGATCGACGAACAGCCTGTGTGGTGAAGCGCCAGTTGGCTTTCGTGAATAAGAAAACTGATTGATGGGAAGCGACCCGATCCAGCCCTGAGACTCATGGTCGACGACGG